TATAATGATCTTGCCCAAATTTGGCTGACATGGACATATACATTTAAAATATTAATTAATTCACCTACCTTTATTTTGATCAAGATATTAAATCTTTTTTTTTAACACTGAAGTGGTATTATATACCAATTTTTTTTTCTTTTTCTCTGTCAGAAATTAACTCATCCATTTTCCATATTCAACACTTCCTCTTATTTTGGTTTCTCTGTAGTTTTTTGCTTGTCATTCCATTTGGCTAATTTTACCAAATGTGCTTTGATTTGAGATTTCTATTTTCTAGTCAACTTCTTCTTACAAGTGTTTCTCTAGAAAAAAGCTCTTGGCGTAATGTATTTTATTACAACTCTACTTTTAGCATTACTAGAATATTTTTTCTGAGTAAAATTGCTTTTATTCAGGAAAAAGTTGACATGGCTTGATACTCAAACTCTTACCTCTGCATAGGCCAGCTGTTTAAAGATAATAGATTCCACTTATATAGGGCTTACTATACCAGGCACTGTTCTAAGTCCTTTATACACAGTATATTAACTCATAAAATTCTCAAAACAACTCCATGAAATAGGTACTATTATCATCCCTGTTTTAGAGATGGGAAAACTGAGGCATAGAGGTTGAATGATCTGCCTAAAGTCCTATTGCCTCTAAGTGATAGAGCTGACTCTAGAGTCTGTGCTCAGTGAGTTTGTGATATATGGTTTCCCTTTGTTGTGTAAGTTTATTACATTTCTATTAATAAGTTCATTAATAGGCTATGCGGCAACCTAGTATAGCTTGTAACTTCTAATTTCATTAAACTTTTTATACATGACAAGTCACACAGCTAGGCACACACATAAAACCAGTTCAGGGAAGTGATCATGAATAGGATGATCTCCAGCAACTTTGTAAATGTTTTGTGCCTGACATATATTTGTTTTTCAAGGTTAATAGGGGACATTATTATTATTGTTTTGACATGTCCTAATTTTTGGTACATCATTTCAAGTGTACTAAAAGTTTTTAACCCCGTGTTCTTTCTCGGTTTCAAATAGATATTGTGGAAAATCGATCCCGCCCTCTCTGATCAGCAGCACCAGCTCATTGATGCTCATATTTGTGGCTGACTCTGACCTCGCTTATGAAGGCTTTTCAATAAGCTATGAAGCAATCGATGAATCAGCAGGTGACAAAACAGCGTTGTATACTGGGTTTCATTTACTCCATTACAAGACAGTACTATGAGAATGCTTCCTCCCCAAACCAGTGGCACGCAATGAAAGCTATATATATTGAGAAAAAAGTGTAGTGATTTCAGTGCCTTCCTTATTAAAAAGAGTGTTGAGGGCCGGCCCTGTGGCTTGGTGGTTAAGTGCGCACACTGCGATGCTGGCGGCCCGGGTTCGGATCCCGGGTGCGTATCGAGGCACCACCTCTCTGTCCATCCTGAGGCCGAGTCCCACATACAGCAACTAGAAGGATGTGCAGCTATGACATACAACTATCTACTGGGGCTTTGGGGGCAAAAAAAAAAAAATAAAATAAATAAAAAGAGTGTTGATTAGACAGGAGTATTGTATCAGTGTTAAATTTTCGAATTTTGATAATTGTACAGTGGTTTTATAAGAGAATGTTTTTGTTCTTAGGAAGTATAGACTGATATTTTTAGAGATAAAGACACACACAGTCTACAAATCACTCTGAAGTGATTCAGATACTAAGTGAGTGAGCAAGTTAGAGAGAGAAAGAGAGAGAGAAAGCAATGGGGGCAAAATACAAATGTGTAGTAAATCTTGGTAAAGGGAATTTGGGTGTTAGTTCTTACAACTCTTCTGTAAGTTTAAAATTCTATCATAATATAAAGTTACCAAAGAAACCAAATACTATTTTAAGAAATTAGAGGGGCTGGCTCGGTGGCATAGTGGTTAAACCTGCTTCGTCGGCCCGGGGTTCGCAGGTTTGGATACTGGGTGTGGACCTATACATTGCTTATCAAGTCATGCTGTGGCAGGTGTCCCACATATAAAGTAAAGGAAGATGGGCACAGGTGTTAGCTCAGGGCTAATCTTCCTCAGCAAAAAGAGGAAGATTGGCAACAGATGTTAGCTCAGTGCTATTCTTTCTCACTGGAAAAAAAAAAAAAAGAAATTAGAAAAAGGGCAATCGTAGATAAGAATGAGACTACTACATGGAATTCTATAGCAGAAAATGGAAGATTTCTTGGCAAAATATACATTTCTAAGTTTGATTTAATGAGATTGAACCTTTTCGGCATTTATTGCTTTTATCGTATTTTTCCTATTATTTAGTTCTCATCATTACTTTGCTCTTTGCAAATGCAGCGTAGGAAACAAATATCCTTTGCGAGCAGGGTCTTTGATGTCACATGTAAACCCGAGATGCCCTCAGCCCCCAAAGCCCACGGAATTTATGAGGGCATCATGTTTCGTTAGGCTCATGTTCCCACCTGGGATGTGTACCTTTCTAGAGAATCTGAATTTTCCTTTTGCATCATATTTAGAAAGATATTTAATGGATGGAAATACTATCCAGCGTAAACCTACAGTAGACATACAGTGACTGAGCTACCCAAGCATTTCACAGCCTCCGGATTGCCCCAGAAGTATGGTGCGATCCACTAGTGCTCCCTTCAGAAAGTACTGGGAGCTTTTCCTGTGCCAGGATGTGCTCCCTCAGACACAGTCTTGCATCCAGAGATCCCTAGGTGTTCGTCCCCCAAATAAATAAATAAATAAAGTTAAAAAAAAATCTCCCACTCAGAATCCCTACCCAATTTCTCATCTATTTCCTCTCAGAGCGGCTGGCCACTACTCTTCACTCCGCTTCAGCGGCCTGGGGTTCAGATCCCGGGCACAGACCTATGCACTGCTTGCCAAGCCATGCTGTGGCAGGTATCCCACATACAAAGTAGAGGAAGATGGGCACCGGTGTTAGCCCAGGGCCAATCTTCCTCAGCAAAGAAAGAGGAGGATTGGCAGCAGATGTTAGCTCAGGGCTAATCTTCCTAACCAAAAAAAAAAAGAGAGAGAGAAAGGCATCCCAAGGTGGCAAACGCAGAGACTCTCCAGTCTTCCCCCCTGAGTGATAATCGTTACTTTGGCCTCTGTTGGGTCCAGACAGGGCTGAAATCACAGATGAGAGAGTGGTTTCTTTTCGTCCCTTGGCAAGCCTGGCTGGTCACTGTGTGCCTGCCTTTTGCTGGATGAACTCATCAGTCTGACTAACACAGTCAGATATTCTAAAGAGCCTTTATAGATGATTGGATCCAGGAAGCACACGGCACCCTCGACTTAGCATTTTGGAGCCTGCCTCAATTTCCCATAGATCAAGATGGGAGTGACTGGTTCTCAGGAATGGTTGCCGGTGGCCCCTGCAGGACTTGCTCAGAGAGGGGCGAGGCTCAGGAGACTGATGTGGGGGTTGGGCTGGTGACAGCCAGGCAGTGGGCTAGCCCTCCAGGCAGGCTGAGTCCTGGTGAGCTGCCCTCCTGGAAGTGGGGAGGCGTTAGGATGCTTTCCTTTCAGTTGTCATCTTATTTTCGATATTTTCCGCAGAATAAAACAGTGTCAGGGAAAAGGATCAATGGGAGTTCAGTCATTGGCCCTCATCCTACTTTACTGCTCTAGCAGACATTACTTTCAGAGCAAAAATGACGGTATTTGGTTGTCGATTTCTAGTTCCTGGCTCAGCAGGTGCGAGTTTCTTGGCTGAAGTCTTTCCTGTCTTCATCTGATAAAGGTTAAATTTCCTGACTTGAGTCCAGTTACTGTCCCATCTGTAGTTCATGCCCTCGAACTATGATGTCAGCCCCTAAATATGTGTTTGGGAGGAAAGAGATCCGCTTCTGGTCATTTCTTTGCCTCCCTCCCTCCTCGCTTTTTCTGCCTTCATCCAGATATGCCTGGGGAAACAGAAACAAAGAACTAGCTAAATGTTTGTGGGTAGAAGCTCTTAAGAATTTCTTTTTTTTTTTTTTTTTAAAGATTTTATTTATTTTATTTTTCCCCCCAAAGCCCCAGTGGATAGTTGTATGTCGTAGCTGCACATCCTTCTAGTTGCTGTATGTGGGACTCGGCCTCAGGATGAACGGAGAAGTGGTACCTCGATGCGCACCCGGGATCCGAACCCGGGCCACCAGCATCGCAGCGCGCGCACTTAACCACCAAGCCACAGGGCCGGCCCCTCTTAAGAATTTCTTAGTAACTGATTATGAAACTAGGTTTTACATGTTTGCTAATTTAAAATACAAAACATTTGAATTCTGAGAGAATATAATTGATTAGTTAACTTTACTAATTTAAATTGTCATTTTATATTCTATTAACATCTACTGCATATATATTAATATAATCTTACCAAGAGGGGTTTTTGAAAGCATAAGAAAGAATAGCAAAATGTATTTGATGCATTTTCTACTTTGACATTAGAAGAAAACCTATAAAACATGTAGTCCAGTGTTTTCCAAACGTTGAAATATTCATGATTCAATAATGAGTCGTGAAATTAACTTATTAGGTTGCTACCTGCATTTTTTAAAAATATGGATTGGAATGAAAAGAAAAGGATAGAAAGTATGAGAATTTATCAAAGTTTGGTGTTACCTCATGAAATCTGTTTGCGTATCTGTGTGTGTGCGTGATTGATGTAAATGTATTTTTATGGTGTGTCAGAAAGTTGGAAACACTAATCTAGTCCAATTACCTTATTTCTTGAATGAGGGAAATTGAAATCCAGAATTGAATTTATCCTCCGAAGAAAACACAGCTAGTTGGTTTAGAAGCTGAACCAAAACAATCCAGTCCTAACATCTAATCCCTTTGTTTTACCATGTCTAGATTAGCTCTTGGAAATGCTCTAGATCAACTGCGCATAGTGTGGCTGGTAATTTTCAGGTCAGAGCTATGGTAGAAGTGTCGTGGACTCTTCATACTTTCTGCAAAGCTATGAGCTTTACAGTTATTCAGGGGAAATAGCCAGGAAGTATCAGAACCACATTAATGCAGGGTTAAAACTAGGCCCTAGTGGGCTTTCCCAACCTCCTCATTCCCAGCTCAGAGTTCTCACCTACCCCTCAGTGGGTATTTAGTGCTGTTTTTCACCATTTCTCCTGGCATGAGCCGGGAAGAGGCATCTAAGAGTGAGAAGTCAAGAAATGATTACCAGAAGGGCGAAAGAGGGTTTCTTTAGAAGAAATGAATACCGAGAGTTTTGTTTCTATTTTAAAGCTTCAATCTGGTAGAGCAGTGTTCTCAAACTCTGGTGTTCATAAGAAACTTGGGGTGGGATTTTCTTGTTACAATTCAGGTATTAGGGCCGCATCCAGAAATTCTTATTCAAATAGGTCTGGGGGCGGTTTCACCAAACAATTCGAGTGGTTCTAATGAAACTTTGCAGTTCATCAGAGACTTTGAGAGTCAAGTCTTAGCGCATAAGTTGCTGTAGAATTACAACTGAGATGTAGGGGGATTGGACTGTAACTGCTCAGAGTGGAAAGTACTTTCCATGATACGATGAATAAAAGGCTGAAGGCGAAGTCAGAAGTCTTGGTTCTAGTCCCAACCTTGGCACTAACTTGAAAACCTTTGGGCAAGTCACAGACCTCTCTGATTCTTTCTATCCACCTTGAATTCTATATGTTCTGCTGTGAGATATTCAGATATTTTCCCCCTGGAAAAGATTTTTGGTAAGTCTGTTGATCTCTTGAAGATTTACTTTCCTATACGTCAGTATTTTCTCATATTTTTGTATATACGGGTATCCCAGCACTTCCCAGCTCAGTAGATTTGTCTTATTTAATTTATTATATTTCTTAGTCCTTAGAATGAAAATGCTAAACAAAACATTTAATTGTGATGTTCCTAGTCTTCTACTCACCTTCATTTCTAAGTCGACAATTCCTACATAGAGAAACCCGGGATTATTAAAGGCCATGGGATTTGGAAAGGGAGGACTTGGGTTCGAATTTTATCTTTGCTGTGTCTGAACTCAGCAATTTTCAGAACTTAACCTCCAGGAACCTCAAATCCCTCATCTGCACCTCTCTAAAATGTGGAAGTTATAATACCTGGCTGTTTCACATAGTTGGGGACAATAAAATGAGATATTCTACGTGAAAATTACATGAAAGCTTTAAAGCACCATGACTGTGCCAGGTTTAAAATATAA